TCAGGCGCACCTTAGTCCTCAAGCTGACATCTCTGCTCTTCAACACTTTAAAAAGTTCCTGTGCAGCAGATTTGCCTAATGCAATACGTTGTCTGATCTCTTGACTGCTGCTTCTGTGAGTGTTGATAGTTGATCCAAGAAGAATGAAGTCCTTGACAACTTCCAATCTTTTCTCCACTGATAAGAATGTTGTTTATTGGTCCAGCATTGAGGATTTGTGTTTTTCTGACATTGAGATGCAACCCATACCTAAGGCTGTGTTCTTTGATCTTCATCAGTAAATGTTTCAAGGCCTCTTCACTTTCATCAAGTAAAGTTATATCATCTGCATATCACAGGTTGTTAATGAGTCTTCCTCATTATATATATGCAAGATGGCGGATCGGGTGGAAGTGCAGTAAGAGCTCTGCCAGCAACAACACAGAATACCTGACCAAGTAGGCTCAGGGGATGGTCCCAGAACTCTGAACCACATATAAAGGAATATTTAGACGGTTGGAAGGCTTGGAGCTAGGGAATTTGGGCAGAAGCAAGAAATCTATTGCTTTCTAGTCCGGGACGCTCAGCTGCTCCAGGAGCCGCCATCTTGGGTGAGACCACGTGGGGGAAGGAACGGAGCAGCCACAGATACCTGGCAGAACCGCAAAGATAAAGGTGTGGGCATTCTTTTCTTTTGGAAGCTGTTCATTGGTCCTTTGCTGTCTGTGCACCTCCATTCTGGTGACTAAAGGGGTGCCTGAGCGAGTGGGCACCCCAGCCCCACCCTCGGAGGGTTCTACTACGCATGCGCACAGATCTCCTCGAACTGTAAAGAGACAGTTTCCAATTAAAACCAAACGGCCACAGCCGGCCCTGAACTGTTTACCACTAGTAAAAAGGCCTGAACGAGGATTGTGGGGCAGGACAAGCAGACAAAAAAAGGAAGTAAGACAAAAATTAAATCCTAAGTTCCGTCAGAGCACGGTCAACAACAACATGGAACACCGGGCCAAGAGGGCTCATGAGAGTGTTGGAACTCTCCTCCAGTACCATAACCCAAAATTATCAATTCTTCTACGGTCTTCCTTATTCACTGTCCAGCTTTCATTTCACATGCATTATGAGGTTATTGAAAATTCCTTGGCTTGGGTCAGTTGCACCTTAGTCCTCAAGCTGACATTTTTGCTCTTCAACACTTTAAAAGGTCTTGTGCAGCACATTTGCCTAATGCAATACGTCGTTTGATTTCATGACTACTGCTTCTGTGAGTGTTGATGGTTGAAGTCCTTGACAACTTCAATCTTTTCTCCATTGATAAGAACGCTGTTTATTTGTCCAGTGGTGAAGATTTTTGTGTTCTTTACATTGAGATGTAATCCAAACTGAAGGCTATGGTCTTTGATCTTCATTAGTAAATATTTTAATCTGTCTTCACTTTCAGCAAGCAAGGTTGTATCATCTGCATATCGCAGGTTGTCAATGAGTCTTCCTCCAATCCTGATGCCCTGTTTTTCTTCATAGAACCCAGCTTCTCAGACTATTTGCTCAGCATACAGGTTGAATAAAGTATGGTAAAATAATACAACCCTGTGGCACACCTTTCTTAATTTTCAACTATTCGGTGTTCCATGTTCTGTTCGAACAACTGCCTTTTGGTCCAGGTATAGATTCCTCATGAGCACAAAGTATGGAATACTCATACTTTGCAATGTTATCCATAGCTTGTCATGATCCATACAATCAAAAGCCTTTGAGTAGTCAATAAAGCACAGAATCTATCTGGTATTCTCTGCTTTCACCCAAGATTCATTGGACATCGGCAATGATATCCCTTGTTTCACGGCCTCTTCTGAATCTGGCATGAACCTCTGGACGTTCTCTGTCAATGTATGCTTGTAGCCATTTCTGTATTACACTTAGTAAAACTTTACTCTCATGGGATATCAAAGAGATTGTCCGATGATTTCCTCATTCCATTGGTTCACCTGTCTTTGGAATGGGCACAAATAACGGATCTCTTCCAGTCGGCCAGATGAGTGAATGCTTCCAGTGCCGCCTCACTTTCTTGAAAGATTTCAATTTTTATTCCATCAACTACTGGAGCCTTGTTCTTTGGCATGCAGGCATCTTTAACTATTTATTGTCGTTTTATCTACTTACCACTTTAACTATGGCAGAAACCAGTTTATAAATTTATTTTTAAAGATAGACCTATGAAATTTGCTAAAAGATAACAACTGTATCTATTACAAACTCATTTTATATTGATGCATGGGAGGAGAAAAAAGATTTATAAGTATCAGGAAGAGCAAGTAAACAATTATATACATGAAACTGCAACAACAGTTGCTAAGATCTAGAAAATAGACACTTTTTTTTAAACGTGTAAAGCTGCTATATGTTAGAGATCTTTACAAAAAGGACCACAGATGCAGACCTTCGAAATGCCCTTCTCAAGCACCTCAATGGCATGGGTTGTGCTAGTATTAGTTATTTGGTGCTGATATAGCAAAAATACCACAAGTTTTTTAAGTCCTCTTTGCTTACGACAAGCAAGGTTGTATCATCTGCGTATCGCAGGTTGTTAATGAGGTTGTTAAGACCTTCCTCTAATCCTGATGACACATTTCTCTTCATTATAGTCCAGGTATTTGAATTATATGCTCTGCATACAGATTGAACAAATATGGTGAAATAATAAAACTCTGGTGCACTCCTTTCCTAATTTTAAACTATTCAGTGTCCCCTTGTTTTGTGCTAACAACTGCCTCTTGGTCCAGATACAGATTCCTCATGAGCACAATTAAGTGTTCCAGAATACTTATACTTTGCAACGTTGTCCATAGCTTGTCATGATCCACACAATTAAAGGCCTATGCATAGTCAAAAAAGCACAGGTAAACACTTTTCTGGTATTTTCTGCTTTCAGCCAAGATCCATCTGACATCAGCAATGATATCCCTTATTACACATCCTCTTCTGAATCCGGCTTGAACCTCTGGAAGTTCTCTGCCAATGTATGATTGTAGCCATTTCGGTATTACCGTTAGTAAAACTTTACTCGCATGGGATATCAAAGATATGGTCCGATGATTTCTGCATTCCTTTGGGTCACTTCTAGTTGGAATGGGTACGGATACAATCTCTTCCAGTCAACTGGCCAGGTAGTTGTCTTCCAAATTTCTTGGTATAGATGAGTAAGTGCCTCCAGTGCTGCCTCAGTGCCTTGTTCTTTGCAATGCTTTCAATGTAATTAATGTATATCAGAAAATATTTTCAGAAAAGTAAATAGAACCCACAGACTGCAAATAAATTTTAGCACTGATATTTCAGACAAGGGACAAACTCTAAAATTCACAGAAAATTTCAACAACAAAAGACAATCCAATTTAAAAATGGGCAGAGGTTATGAACAGACATGTTCACCAAAAATGACATTTAGGTAGTCAACAAATGTATGAAGCTATGCTTGTGCTCATTAGCCATTAGAGAAATTCAAATGAAAATAACAGTAAGATATTGTTTCACCCCAGCATCAATCGCAAAGTTCAAACAATAGTAAACAACAAACGTGGACAAAGGTGTGGAGAAACTGGAGCCCTCCTACACTAATGTTGGGACCATAAAATGGTGCAATAACTTTGAAAAACAGTATAGCACTTAAAAAGTTGGAAATAAATTATCGTCTGATACAGCAATCCCCTACTTGAAAAATATACTAGAAAAATAAAAATCTGTCACTTGAAAAGACACATGCACCCATATTCATTACAGCACTAGTTATAATAACAAAAAGATAGTCACAGCTTAAATACCTAGCAGTAGAAGAATGGATTAACAAACTATGGGACATACACAACTGGAATACTATACAACATTAAATAATAAAGATGAATCTGAAAAACACCTCAGAACAAGGATGGTGTCCTGTAGGATATTATGCTGAGTGAATAAGGCAATCACAAAAAGACAAATATTGTTTAATGCCAAAACTATAAAAAGTCAAAAAAAGGTTTTCACAAAAAAACCAAAAAACACTAAAATGGAGGATTATTATATAATACTGAGAACCACTGCGTAGCCAAATTAAGACATATTGTTCGGGGACACATTAAAACCCATTAATAGTGCTGTTTCTTTGGCTTGATAAGGGTACTTGTTGTTGTTGTTGTCAGGTGCCATCGAGTCCGAACCGACTCATAGCGACCCATGCATAGCAGAACGAAACAATGTCCGATCCTGGGCCAACCTCTGGAAGTTCTCTGTCAATGTATGATTGCAGCCGTTTCTGTATTATCTTGACAAAGGCTCACAAAACAGACTAAATGCTGTAGAGAAAGGAAGACCGCTTAAGGGAAATAAGACCCAATATATCCAGACTACACTCCCAGCTAAGGTTACTCAAGGTATAAGTAGATTTGTGTTATCTTTCAGTAACCCAGAAATTAATTGGAACTTAATCCAACAGCATTTTACGAGGTTGTGGAACAATATGCACTTGTCTGGGGATATTCATCAGCTACATGCTCAAATTTATGATATAAGTAATTCTCAAAGTGAACACTGAGTGGCTACCCATTTGCTACCCATGCTAGAGAGTAAGATCCCCTAAGAACTGGATTGAACCTCAGCATAGTGATCCTGCTTGGTCACCTTAGAGCAGGTGGTGGATCGGCAACATCGGGCATATGGGGTCCCCAGCTGATCTCCTCCCTCCCTGCCTTCCTCGGATGGCGGCTGTTTATGATGGATGTGTGGCCAGAGACGGGTAAGGATCACGTGGAACCTCGGCTACTTAAGACAGAGACATTGCCATGCTGCAATGAGTCTCAATGACTGGTAAGACTGAGGAATTCGCACTGACCACCTAAGACAGGCAGCGTCCCTTAAACAATAAATAAATAAGGAGGACTCAGATGCAGACAGTACAGACTCGGTCAGGAGGCCAAGCCCCTGTGGGCCCAAGCGTTGATGACCGTCCAAACCACAGGCTCTGAGGATCAGACTCTAGCCACCTAGTAGATATAGCAAACTGTCCCTCATCTGATTATTCAGTAATGCTTGTTAGTAATCTCATACATGAGCCCTGGATATCCACAGACAAATGTAAAAACCTTCCCTAAAAGCCGAGACTGTAAATTCCAAAAAGCCAAGTCCCCCCACATCCAAAAAAAAAAAAAAAAAAAGCTAAAGAGGTTAGAGAGAAACACTGTAAAATGATGATATATGGCAGGGATAATAATCAATGTAATGAAACAAGCTATGTGAATGGTTGAATGTGAAGCTGATGATGTGCCCTGTAAACTTTCACTCAATGCAAAATAAAAACATTTAATTAAAAAAAAAAAAAAAAGAAAGTATCAGGAAGCCAAGAGCACAAAGGTACTTCCTCACTTTGACTCCATATGAACAATACTTACTTTAAATGCTTAGCTAAGTCATCACTTAGTTCCTTAGGAATGTAATCAGATATTAGACCATGGGCATACCGAATATAATCCTCTGAAAGAAAACGCAGTGAAAAATAAAACAGTATTAATTATGGTGGTTTTACATTCAAATTGACCTGAGTTCAAATTCTGGCTCTATCTGGCCTTAGGGAACTTACTTAAGCTCTTCACCTCAGTTGCCTCATTTGTGAAATGGGGATACCAATATCTGTCTGTCTGAGCTGTAGGGAGCTGGGTGATAAGATGACAGAAATGCAACCTAATACATAACCATTAAGTGAGAGTCAAAAAAATTCAAGAGTGGCTTTCTAGTGGATGCCCTGGAATACAAATCAAGTTCCGAAAATTAGCAGTACAAATATAATATACACAGGTCTTCTTTTTAGGCTAGTATTTTCTGGAATATATCTAGTGGCAGCAGCTATGGGCTCAGGCATGACAATAATTGTGGGGATGGCACAAGACTGGGCAGTGTTTCATTCAGAACCAACTCGATGGCACCTAACAACAATAACTTGTATATTCCAGGATACAGAATAAATCTAAAGTATTAGCATGTTTGTTTAAAAGAAATATTATTGTGGTTGTTAAGTGCCATCAAATAGGTTCCAACTTATAGTGAGTATAGGATTTCCAAGGAGCGTCTGGTGGGTTTGAACTGCTGACCTTGTAGTTCAAGCTGACCTTGCAGTCCAGTGCATTATCCTACAGTGTCACACCAGAGCTCCAAAAGAAATATACACACACATCTCTCTCTCTCTCTCTCTCTCTTTCTCTCTCTCTATCTAGCTACACATATTGTTGTTAAGCGCTGTCTACAACTCATAGCAACCTTGTATAGGGTTTCCAAGGATAGGCCAGTGAGTTTGAGTCTCTGATCTTGTGGTTCAAACTGACTTTGTGGTGTAGTACATTATCCTACAGTGCCATACTAGGACTCTCTCTCTCTCTATGTATATATATATATGTCTACACTAAGTACTAAGGAACTCTGGTAGCATAGTGGTTACGAATTGGGCTGCTAACCTCAAGGTCGGCAGTCAGAAACTACCAGCTGTTCCATGGGAGAAAGAAGAGGTTTTCTGCTCCCATAAAGATGTGCTGCCCCAGAAACCCTGTGCAGGGTCACTAAGAGTTGGAACCAACTCCACAGTACTTAAAAACAACAACATAGTAAGTATTTAAGGGGCCTTGGTAACGTAGTGTATTACGCATTGGGCTGCAGTTTGAATCCTCAGGGGCAAGATAAGCCTTTCTCTTCCCATAAATATTTACAGCTTCAGGAACCCTATACTGGGTGGAAATGAGTCAGAAACAACTCAAGAGCATATAACCACCACCATACTAAATACTTGTTTGGTAAGAACTTGGAACATAACAAATCTACATGAAAACTAATAAAATACTTTAAGGAAAAAAATAATTCAACAGAATATTTATTAATTCTAAAGCATTTGGATCTGACAATGATTTGACAAAAACTTTAGTAACTAAAATGTAGTCTGACATCAATTAAATACAGTTAAATAAGACAATAAAATCTGCTCTAAAGCCTTGCTCTTAATTTGAGTTTTTACATAGACAGGTGGTGATAGTGGTTATGTGCTGTGGAGTTGGTTACGACTCATAGTGGCCCTGCATAGGGTTTCCAAGGCTGTAAGTTTTTATGGGAGCAGGAAGCCTCATCTTTCTCCCATGGAGTAGCCAGTAGTTTCAAACTGCTGACCTTGAGATTAGCAGCCTAACTCATAACCACTACGCTACCAGAGAATACGAAGGGATAATCAAACTTAATCATAAAATCAAAATGCTGAAACCTGTAGGACATAACATGTCTCGTGAGCAGGATGCACACAGTTTCAGCCTATCAGGAAGTCTGAAACATCAGAGCAGAACAACCGAAGGTGAGGAGTGAGACAAGCTTGGCTAGCCAGCTGTGCAGCTTTGCTATCTAGTAGCTGCATGACTTTGGACACAGGCTTGAGACCCTCATCTCTAAAATGCGACTTATTGGGAGTGTCAAATTGGAGACTGTGTGGAGACTGGTAACTCAGCAAAGGGCCTGACACATTATAGTAACCAGGCTTATCCTTTTTCAAAAATTATACTTTGACTGTTTAGTTAAAGTTCATATACCAAGTTTGACAAATGTGACAAACTTCCATACACATTGCTCAGTGACATTAGTTCAGAGTTGTTCCTATTACTAATGCAAAATGAGTATTAGCTGAATGAATGCTTGGAGTCTCCATCAGTGACAGAAGCAATCTACAGTAGAAATAGTATTTAGAAGCGGAGATAAATGCACATTGGCCACAAGTTCTGTGGGAACCAACAAGACTGTAGAGCTCTGTGATGCAGACTCTTACACCTTAAGAGGGGCGTCCGCACACCCACGTAATGAGGTGGAAATCATTTCTGATGAAGCGATTCACTTACCTTCCTTATCACTGGAAACCTGGTCAGCTGAGAAATATGCTGCAGACTGTACCCGGGCACTGACATTTATTTTATTGGATTTTAATGCTGCCGTGGTCTGATTCACCTACAAAGTAACCAATAGGGGAGAGATTTCTAGTTTAACTTTAGAAATCCATAACCACTTAAGATCCGGGCCCAGAAATACCTTTACCAGATATCAGATGAGAGATGGCTGCACATTTGAAGAAAAGCTGAGCGGTAGCAACAATATATTTGTCTGTTAGGAACATGTACACTTCCCACATACTATGCGAGGTGTGGTGACAGAGACCACTGACTTTGGGACCAAAATGCTTGAGTTTGCTCTGTGATCACGGGCAAGTTACTTAACCTCTCTGTGCCTCTATCTATAAAAGAGGGATAAAAGCAGTATCTACCTCATTGGATTGCTAAGAGGATTAAATGAACCCTTATAATCTGGCACAGAGTAAATACTACATAAGCATTTACTACTTATAAGTAAATTTACTACTTATAAGTAGTAAATTTCTAAATGGAATAAATAATTAAAATGTCTCACTTCCTTGGAAATTAAGAAAATACACACAATCAGTAAGTAAAAATTTCATTTTGCTATTGAGTCCTGGTATGATGTTGGAGGATAAGCACTGCACTGCTAACTATCAGAGCAGCAGTTCAAACCCAGCAGCTTGGGAGTCCTATTCAGGGTCACTTAAAAAATCAAAACCAACTCGACGGCACAACCACCAAAACAAGCATGGCAATGGGTTTGATTTGGTTTGTATGCATACCATTAATTAGTACTTGGCAAAAGCAAAATCACCAAGATTCTGTGGAGCTTCATTTCAGCCAAAGGAGAACATCAGGCTGACTGCAGAAGTATCTGAGTTGGGGAGAGGATAAAATGAAAAATTTCTATACTTGAATATTTCTAGGCAGTTTGCCTCTTTTAGGTGCATGTATAATAAAGACTCTGAATTTTAGACGTACTGTCTTTGTTAAATTTGTTTTTTAAAGGAGCATTCATTTTCACTTTGAGAAGTACTATACCTTTTTTTCCAGCCACCTTAATGTCTTCTCTTTGCTGTACTTATAAAATTTTTTGCTGTTTATTTCTGGATTAAAATACAAGAAAGAAAGACTCATCATGGTGGATAAGACATGACATAAACTTATAAGGTTATATCACATAAAAATACAATGAATAATTTAAAAATATTTCAGAGTAGTTCAGATTCTTGAAGTATTCCACATATAAATCTGAGATCCTAAAAATATATATATTTTTAAATCTCAAAACAGAGTTTGGGTATCTCAGGGTCCATCTAACCACTAAGTTAGGTGGACATTTAAAAAAACCACCAAATTATACGAATTACAGAAAAGGTAAACTTTTTAAGACCCAACAAATTAACATGCCAGTCAACCTTAATTTTTCCGAATAGTCGTAAATGCCCCTCAATGTTTTTGATGAAAGACACCTTCTCTAAAATGATAATCAAAATCCCCAAAAATAAAATGAAAGGCTCACTGCATACATTCAGGAAAAAGCCAGATGAAAACAATCTTGTTAATTTGCTAAATGCTGTGCCGTAGGATCAATGGAGCACAAAAGAAAGACAGTCCTATTGGGTCACTGTGAGGTGGAAACAACTTGACTCAACAGCAATGTGTTATTTTGTGTGTGTTGTGTGTGTGTGTGTATTTTCTCCTTTAGCTAGTTTTATGGTATGATCAACTTGGCCCTTTATGGAAATAAAAGTTTCACCTTTTATAAATTATACTTCCGCTCCTCGCAATCCGTTTAGCTTTATATGCTACATCATTAAACCAGTGTTTCCTTTGTTAACACTTTTCATTCGTGGGGTTGCCTGCTTTCTGTACACTGAGCAAAGACAGCACTTCCATCCTGGCAGGAACTCTCTTCACAATCACTATAAGCCACAACCAGATACAAGATTGCTGGATGCCATTCCAGGGGAACTGTCCCAGAATGACATTTTCTCTTGCTCCTCTCCATAACCGTGGTGAGAAATGGAAACTGCTTATTCAGGAACAGGTTTCTGCAGTCTGTTAAATGGCTTCTTATTGTGTTAACAAGTGCCTTCAAATTGGTTCTGACTCACAGTGACCCTGTGTAGGTTTCTGAGGTGCAGCTGGTGAGTTTGAACCACCAACCTTGTAGTCTAGTGCTTATCCTATACCGCTGTACCAGGACTCCATGTTAATTGCTAGAGCCCCACTAAATGGCTGAGAGGTCCCAGGCCTCAGTTCCTGTGTCTCTTCCCCATTTCAGTGTTGGTGTCAGTAGTATAGTATTATAGAAAACTGGACGGAGTGAGTACTGTACCCATCCATATTCTCAGAGCATGTCACTGTAATAACAGACTGGGGCAAGGTATCCACCAAACCAGACTGTTGTCGGGCTTTCCCATTTCGTTCTCAGAATGACTCTTAGGTGAAAACCACAATCCTAAAAGGCTGGGTTTGTGTTACATTTGGAACATTGTCCAGAGTCACTGAACTAGTCAGTGCCATTCCCACCAGAGCCATGGATTGTCATGTTGAGTTGGTTCTCCATATTCCTCAGTACTTCAGACACCCCTGAGCTTTGGAAAAAGTCTCTCTTCCTATGGCATCTGTAGAACCACTTTCTGTTGCCTCCATCTCTGACGACTTCTCTGCTGATTCTCAGCTTCCTCCACCTGCAGGGCCAATTCTTTCTCTGGGGGGTGACCTCATCATATTTCACCCTGGAAACCAAACCTGACCTGAAAGTTCAGAGCTCTGAGCTGAAGCTCATGTACCTAAAATCACATTTGGATAGACCTTCACCTAGACTCCACATCTCAGAGTGGTTACTCACTTCTACTTTTCCTCTTACATTCAACCACACGTTCCATGGGAGATGGGAAGTGTGGAGAGAAGAAAGTTAATGTTATTTTGGGTTAGGGGCGGGGAGGAGGCTTAGCTTCTAAAGATGGATCAGTAACTACTACTAGATTTTTTTTAAAAAATCAACTTTATTTAGTATGATGTTCATATAACTATGGAAACACTTTAAGTGTACAATTCAAGAAGTTTGGACAGATTTACCCAGAAGTAAGGATAAACCGCCAAAGGTTCCCTGAACTATAGTCAATTCCTCCACCCCTGTTCAGGCCTCAGTAACCACTGATCCGTAATCACTATAGATTAGTTTTGCTTTACTTTAGAACTTCATCAAAATGGAATCACACAATATATTCTTCCAACATATACTTCTACAATAAAACTACTTTATTGCCGCTCCGCGGGAGAAAGATGAGGCTTTCTACTCCCGTAAGGATTTACACCCTCGGAAACCCTGTACAGGGTCGCTATGGGTCGGAACCGACTCGACGGCACTTAACAACAACAACAACAACATTGCACTGAAATAATTTTGTCTATATTTGAGATAGGTATCTTTCAGCAGTGAAATGACATGGAAACATTTTCTCTCAGATTGTGGCTTATCTTATTTTCTTAATGGTGTGTTTCAAAAGACAGAATTTTAACTTTTGATGACATCCAATTTGAAATTTTATTCTTAAAATAATTCATGAATTTTGTTTTCTAAGAAACTTTTGCCTACTCCTAAGGTACAAAGATTTTTGTCAATGATTAATTTCACGTAAATCTTATGTTAACATTTGGTTTGTTGAAAAGACTAATACTTTGTTCACGTAAGTGTGGGTCTATTTCTGGATTCTCTATTTTGTTCCACCTATCTTTCCATCAATAACTTACTTTCTTGATTATACAGCTTCATAGTAAGTCTGAGGAGCCCTAGTGGCACAGTAGTAAAGCAGTTGGAACCCACCTGCTCCTCTGAAGGAGAAAGATGTGGCCGTCTGCTTCCATGAAGATTTATAAGCCTTACAGAGTTTGGGTTTTGGTATTTTAAGACTTGAAATCAGGTTGGTAAGTCCTCCAACAACATTCTTTTTACAAATCATTATGGCTATACTGAGAACCTAGCATTTCCATATGAATTTTAGGGTCAACCTGTTCACTGCTACTACTAAAATAATAATAATAAAATAAAAAGCCTGCAAGGATTATGATTAATGTTACAAAAAATCTATAAATTGATTTGGAGAATAGACATCTTAACATTGACTCTTCCAATCCATGACCACTGTATAATCTCTCCATTTATTTAATTCTGCCTTAATTTCTCTCGGCAATGTTTTTGTAATGTGCAGTGTACTGATCTTGTGCATGTTGTGTTAAATTAATCCTTTAGAATTTCATGAATCCCTGGGTGTTCAGCTGCTAACCATGAAATTGGGAACTTGAGTCCACACAAAGGTGCTTCAGAAGAAAGGCAGGGTGATATACTTCCCAAAACAAATCCACCATGGTAAACCCCCTATGGAGCACAGTTCTGCTCTGACACACATGCGGCTGCCATGGGTTGGAGCCGACACAGTGGCAAGTGGGAGTGGTGGTGGTTGAGTGCCGTGGAGTCAGTTCTGACTCAGAGCAACCCTGGATAGGGGTTCTGAGGCTGGAAATCTTTACAGGAGCAGAAACAAGTAGCAAAAAAAAGACTCAGGATTTTTGATTTTTTGATGCTGTAAGTGGTATGATTTTATTCCACTACCCAATTTGGTCACTGTGGCACTGGAATCCTGGTGAGGCACTGCAGGATAATGCACTGGATGACAAGGTCAGTTGGAGCCACAAGGTCAGCAGTTTTCCTTGGAAACCCTAGACAGGGTCACTATGAGTGGCAACGGACTCGATGGCACTTAACACCATCATCATGGACGGCTAACCACACGATTGGTGGTTTGAGTCCACTAGCTTCTCCATGGGAGAAAGATGAGGCTTTCTGCTCCCATAAAGATTTACAGCCTCAGAAACCCTACACAAGGTCACTATGAGTCAGAACCAGCTTGACAGCACTTAATAACAACCAACAACAGCTAGATCTCTTTGAATCTTCTAATATACATCACAATGAATGGAGACAGCTTTCCTATTTACTTTCTAATTCCTATTATTTTTATCTCTTTTCTTTGTCTTTTTGAGTCTCCTAGCACTTCTACTACAATGCCACAAAGAAGTCGTGAGGATACTCTTGCATTGTATCCAACTGAGAAAAGTATTCCATTTTTTATAATGAAGCTGTAGGCTTTTCACAGACATCCTTAATCAGATTGAGGAAGGTCTCCTTTATTCTTAATTTGAAGAGAATGTGTGTCATGATTGAATTTTGTCAGATGTTTTTTCTGCATCTATGCTAGCCTCAAGGTTGGCAGTTCAAACTCATCAGCCACTCCTTGGAAACCCTATACAGGGTTCTTATGAATTGTAACCTGCTCAATGGCACTTAACACCAACAACACTGAGATGATATGATTTTTGTCTCATAATGTGTAAAGACGGCGAATTACACCAATTTTCAAATGCTCGACCAATTTTGCATTCCACTTGGTCAAAGTTTTTTATATCTTTTTATATGTTCAATTTGCTAACATTTTGTTAAGAATTTTTCAAGTCTGTGTTCACAAGGAACCAATTCTGATTTCATAAAATTAGTTGAAAAATATTCCTTCCTCATATATGTCTGTGAGTGTGAGTAAGATTGGTATTATTTCTTCAGTAAATTAAGGTAGAATTTACCTATTTAAGTAAAATCACCTGGGCCTAGAGTTGTCAATCTATCTAGTTTTTCATGATAAGTTTATTTCCAAATTAAACATTCTGTGAACAAGAGATCACTAAGAATTTCCCAACTTGAGTATCCCAAAATTTTACACAAGAACGAAATGCTTAATTTTTAAAGTTGTCAATTTTGATAAGCAAGGAGATTTAAGATCTTCATGAAGGTCACAGATCACCCATAATTATTAAAAAACACGTTTGTTTCCTAAATTTAGTGTTGTGAGAGCTAGTGAGTTTGGTAATAAGGGCTACTCTGAAAAAGTTTTTTCCCTAATGTGTCTGGTGTGTCTATAAAACTGGTCTCCAACATCTGGGAAGACTGGGCTTAGAAAATAAAGACGATAAAAGTGAATCCACAATTAAAGTGCACATTCAGCAACTGACTCATGGGTTCACAAACTTGAATTTCCCTGATGTA